ACGCTGCAGCACAACCGCAAAAACGTACACCGTCGAACATGAATCACACCAGGTCTCTCCCCTGCGAAAGATGCATTCGTCTAAACGAACCCTAGACTCACGCTGGCTCTGCGAAGACGCACCCGGCGGCGTATGGTGAATTCACCATCGGAGAAAGCCGTTAATTACCCTGCAGGGCAACTTGCTGTACCTCCCACCTTGAGTGAATGAAGGGGTCACGCGATGACCCTACTCATCCACTCCACACCGAAGCCACCAATCAACCTTCAAAGAACGGAGAGGGCCTCTTGTGCCACTCAACCAAGATCCTTTGACAGACAAGGCAGTGGATGATTGACTAAATCAATTGATTTCTAGCTTGTCACGTTGAGAATGTTTTTGAGTGGACTGGATATATGATATGCGTTGTGAGCGGTGCAGTGCATCTGTGCATGTCTGTTGGCTGGTGTAACTGAAATAAACTCCAAATAAAATCCCAATGTGATCATTATCCTCCCGCATTCCGGTTTCGTATGGTATCAACTGTTTATGCCAATACCTTATTTACTACTCTTAGGTTTTTTCGGTAAAGTCACGTAGGTAAAAAATAAATAATAATAAATGATAATAGAAATAATAATAGAAATAAAATTATAAATCACGACGTTTCGGAGGCAACACAAGTCTCCGTCATCAGGTGGGACCGTCACAGCTAGATTTACTGACTTGAGACTTGATACAGTAAATCTAGCTGTGACGGTCCCACCTGATGACGGAGACTTGTGTTGCCTCCGAAACATCGTGGTTTATTATTTTATTTCTATTATTATTCTATTTTTTTTTACCTACGTGACTTTACCGAAAAAACCTAAGAGTATGAATCCTTGCAGTCACGAAAGCTTCAAATCTAGAACCTTATTTACTTATATTTTGAGTTGCAAGAGCTGAGATGTGGAGGAGTCATATTCTCTGCCAGTATTCTTGTTGGCTGCTCACAAGGGGCCTGTAAAGTCGGCTAAGGCTATTTTCGCCCAGCGTCTTGAGATTGTGGTGGTATTTATATGCTGCATGAATTCGAATTACACGTATTGGTTGATGGAGGAATTGACAACATTTGCACCATCTGCAGCTTTCAACTGAGCGGGTGCCTGTGTCAGCCCTGCTGCACCGCAGCAGTGGTTGTGTGCGGTCATCTCAATCGTGGCGCCGCTGGCCACAACGCTACCACTGCAAAAGTGGTGCGCTTATTTCAACAAAGCTTACCTTGATAATTGTTTTTTTACCCTTCTATCTGGCAACAAAACTGACACCTTTTCACAAGGAGTCATGTTTGCATAGACCGCAATACCTGCAGTCATAATACAAACAAAAGACATAACTCTGATAATGTATGCACTGTCCTTGAAGTTGAGGTTCCCATAGTGTAGATGCTTGCCCCGAGCTCTCATACTCTGATGGTACCATTGTCTTTGAGTTGTGCGTCTTTTGGCGTCATCTGGTCCAACCCATGTGAGACTAGGCTCTAAGGAAAGCTGTCTCGGGTGTGGACCAATCAACTTCAAGGACAGTGCACATTATCAGAGTTATGTCTTTTGTTTGTATTATGACTGCAGGTATTGTGGTCTATGCAAACATGACTCCTTGTAAAAAGGTGTCAGTTTTGTTTCCAGATAGAAGGATAAAAAAACAATTATCATATTTTTACTGGCAAATGAGGTTCCCATGGTGTAAAAGCTTACCTTGTACTTGCAATACATATGTATAGATAACTTTATGCAGTTATTAGAATGTAACCTGATGGTATCGTGTGACTGAAAACACACTTGGCACTCGTGTGTTCCGAGTTGGCGCGTGTGTTGCATTGAATTATATATTTGCGAATGTCCACGTAAAGTAGATGAGCAAAGTGTTGCATGCGTGTGCTTGCTTACGTAGTATGAACTTTTACACCGGTCAAAAAATTATACAATATTCCGTAAGAACCTCAGTAAAATAAGCATTGCCGGTTTGTCTGAATGAATCAAAAACAAAATCTTGGATGCCTGACAATTGAAGCACACCTTGATCCTATGGACCAGAATAATTTAACACCATTAGCAAAAAATAATAATAAAATTAAATTGTAATAATAAATAGAAAATAATTAAAGCAAAAAACCCACGACGTTACTGTACGGTATTAAGCGTGATGCAGTTTGTAAATAACGTGGCAGACAAGAACCACTTAATTAGTGCTATTCGCAATAATACAGTGACAAATATTCATCGCACCAGCAATGTGGATTTTTTAATTTGGCGCTGTTAACTGTTCTATACTCACTGTCAGTCGAGCTGGAATTCCAGACCGCTTGCCAGTGACTTTAATGACGCATCTCCCAGGGAGTTGTTTGCTAATGCTTGGGTTGACTGCACGAATGTAAATGCCTTTCGAGGCAGTAAGATGCATTACTTCATCGAATAATATCGACGCTTCAGCTCGTGATGTGTGCATTGAATCGTGTTGTGTAGAGAATCAATGTTTCCAATTTGTGCATGTAGTATGTAATGGGGTCACGCGATGAAATATCGATCTTTGAATCTCAGAAATGAATCGAATAGCTCGGGAGGTGTTGGTCGGTGAAGGCAATCACCACGAGTTATCGGTACGTGACAGCTTTGCACTTCTACTTTAACATTCAATTTCTAAGCCTTATATTGCTGAATTATTACTTAATGGGTGATTTATGTGAACATGAAGGGTTTATGTTTTGTCTAACATTTAGACTTTTCATGTGCAGAGTGTAAATGGGCTCTTAAATGTTTCCAAATAATGGTTGTACCCACGCAGGCCTCACTGAGTGCCAATACTCTTCCTCAGAGAGGTCTTGCATTTGGATGTTTGGCTAGTTTCGTTGATGAGATGTTTGGCTTCATGCTGGAGGAAATCGGAGAACCCAGAGCAAAGGCACCGTGTGTGAGGGGGAAACCACTCAGCGCTGCCCTCTGCCGGTCACCTTGCAGTCCCTCTGCTTTCTAAACCTGGCAAGGCCACGCGGTGACTCAAGCAACTCCAAACTAGGTTCCACACCATGGGAACCTCATTTGCCAGTAAAAATATGATAATTGGTTTTTTACCCTTCCATCTGGCAACAAAACTGACACCTTTTTACAAGGAGTCATGTTTGCATAGACCACAATACCTGCAGTCATTATGCAAACAAAAAACATAACTCTGATAATGTGCACTGTCCTTGAAGTTGATTGGTCCATACCCGAGACAGCTCTCCTTAGAGCCTAGTCTTACATGGGTTGGACCAGATGACACCAAAAGGCGCACAACTCAAAGACAATGCACCGTCAGAGTATGAGAGCTCGGGGTAAGCATTTACACCATGGGAACCAATTATGATATTTTTACTGGCAAATGAGGTTCCCATGGTGTAAATGCTTTACCCCGAGCTCTCATACTCTGATGGTGCATTGTCTTTGAGTTGTGCGCCTTTTGGTGTCATCTGGTCCAACCCATGTGAGACTAGGCTCTAAGGAAAGCTGTCTCGGGTGTGGACCAATCAACTTCAAGGACAGTGCATATATTATCAGAGTTATGTTTTTTGTTTGCATTTTGACTGCAGGTATTGTGGTCTATGCAAACATGACTCCTTGTAATTAGGCTCCACACCGTTCAGCCTTCTGGAAATCCAATTAGTTCGGGGGACACATCAAGGACTGTCGTGGGACAAACATCACTGTCGCGGTGGTCGGGCGCGTTCGGAAGTGTTTCTGGAAGAAAAAAAAATCATTTGAATGGTTCTCGGAGGCAGCTCTGTGAATTTCTGTCTCACACGGAGGGTTGCATTGCTCTACGAGAGATCCCACTTAATAACTATTCTCATGATGTGATTGTCAATAACACAACCGGGATGAAACTGGGGATATTAAAAAAATATATATTACAAAAACTACTGAAATTGGTGATTTCATCGTAGGAAAGGCGGCGGAATGACTGGAATGAAACACATTGGTCTGGTTGGCAAGCGTTGTGGGGCCTATGTGTGTGCGTTGGATGGATGGGTTTAATAAGAGCGCCCTGGTAATGATGATGCTCACGGAAATAGAATTGGAGCCCGTTTTTCGGTGGTGCCGTCACTGGCGAGCGCCACTGAGCAGGTCGCTTTCAGCGTGCGCACATTGCGATGAATCGCCTTCCCCGCGTCTCGGCACCACCGGCTGCAAAACGCGGCCACAGGAGCCGCACGTCCCATCCTGCGCTCTTGGGTCCGTTTTGCTGGAGCCGCACACACGCACACACACACACGGGGCTTTTCGTCGCACGCCCGACATGATCAATGAGAGATGCACACGCGTGCGCCCTTCCACCTTGGCACATACGAACTACACGTGTGAGCACGCATGACTGATATAGTTGAACACGTTGTGCGCACACAGGTTCGATACATCAGATGTGTACACGCGTGTCCGCTCTACCCCCCCCCCCTCCCTCCGTGCCCAACACACGCGTGTGATCGGAGATGCCATGTACCTTAGACACGTTCAGAGCCTATACATAAACGCGTCTGCGCCCTCCTTGTCTGACGCATCAAACGTAGCTTGAACACGCGCGTTTGAAGGCGGCATACAAAACGCGTGCGCTCTCCTGTCTGACGCATCCACTCCCGTGCCCGCGTGTCTCTCTCCCGGCGGATGCATCGGTCCCGCGCCCGTGCGCGCACACACTCGCTGGTGCGTTACGCATTGAGACGCGGCGGCGGCGCGCCACTTGAGACGGCGCCGTTCGCAGCAAGCCGCACTTAACGAGCGGCAGCCTATTAATTGCCACCGGTGCGGGTGTCGGTGGGAGATTGAGTAGGAGGAGGGCTGTGGGAGTCTGGGTTGGCTCAGATGTGTGGGGGGTGGGGGGAGTTGCCGTCAGGATCAGCCATGCGGCCGTGGTAGCGGCTCCTGGGACCCTCCTCCTGCTCCCTCCTTCTCCTCCTGCTCCCTCCCCTTCCTTCTCCCCCCCCCCCGCCCCCACTTGGTGCCGAGTCTGTGCGCGCCTGGCACAGGCGTGTGACACTCGGGGTGGGTAACGCAGAGGGGAGCAGCAGCAGAAGGTAGGAGGAAGAGGAGGAGGAACGGGGTGGGGGTGTCGAGACGAGAGAGTGGAAGACGGCTGGAACAAGAGGACACAGCAACCACGCGCAGACTTGCCTGGGACAGGCAACGCAGCAACAACAATGCGCCCGCTGCTGGAGCAGACGCTGCTACTACTGCTGCTGCTCCACGTGTGCGCGCTCGCGAGCGGCGCGGCATCTTCGCCCGGTAACGACGGCGCTCACCTCTGCACGCTCTTGCTGCTGTTCGTGTTTGGTGTGCGCGCGCGTGTGGGGTGATGGTAAGTGCCTCGGGACAACCACGGCAGCCGTGGTTGCTGTGAATGAATTGGGGGGCACGCTCTACTACGCCTTGCGCAAGAGTAGCCCCCCACCCCACTCCACGCACGGAGCGGTCACACGCTTGTGCCGAAACGCCGATACAGTGGTAGCTGTGGAAGGAGATCGGGTTTGCTATGTGTTGGTGGTGTGCTGTGTGATTTAGTGGTGGGTTGCGGGTGTGTGCGTGCGTGTAGCCTTGAGTGAACTCATCGCGATGGACACTGCAGTGTTTGCCGTGTTGCTGTTGGTGCTCTCTTGGAGCCCACGTCAGACGCAGCGTACTCAGTGTGCATGTGTTGTGTTGTGTGAGTAAATACAGCTCGCTATGTTTATAGTTCGTGCGTGTGTATATGACATCAGTGTATGCTACTACAGAGGATGACCGTGCATTGTTATAACACTCGGCGGCGAGTTCAAGTTGCGATCAATAAACCGGCACACAGACACATTCACACACTTAACTTGGGTAGCAGTGTGAATATTTCATTGCGTGAGTTATTCCTGTAAACACCGCAACACGTCCGAAAACAACACGAAACAAAACAACTTGTGTAGTAGCCTCGCTCGCACTTGACAGTGTGGATTTTGTATTGTTATGAGTCGTCTCACCGAAGGAAAGTTTATTGGACGTTTGATATTCGTTTGACATTGGCATCCACAGCACGGAGTCGCATCGTCGCAACCGTATTACGAGGGAAAGCGCTTGTAAACATGGGTGGCATCTACCACTGCTCTCGCTGGGAATTCTCACACAAATTTGCTGAAAACCAATTAAAAATAATAACTAATATCACATTCCCTCCTATTCCGCTTGGAATGGTGTAAGACGAAAGTGACCTTTGTTGCGAATGTCAGGCGAATTTTAAACGTCCAGCCAACTGCCCCCAGGGGCGTGGAGTCCTCGTCTCTCAGAACCACCACGTGGGCCACACTGGCGGTTGTCTGCACGCGTCGCATGAGTGACAGGGTGTCGGGGCAACACCTCGACTGTGATCGCTTCGAGCTCGGTCTGTCATCCTGCTTCTGGGAAGATCACTTAAGCCGTCTCCCCCCCCCCACCCCCACCACCTCCTCTTTACGTTCAAACGCAACTTGAGCACACGAGGAATGGGGCGGACTTGGCAGCATCCCAAGCCGGGGCTCGTTGTCTCAATCATATAATGTGAATAATAACCGATGCTACCTGACACTGTAACACGTGGGTATATCGAAGCAATTAAAGATGTGCGGTCGAATAAACATCAGCTACAGCGTGCTGCTTGTAAAGCACGGGGGTTTTTCAACGGTAATATCTCTTCTCTCTCTCTCTCTTTGCGCGCCTGGCCTGGGTTTAATCAAGACGAGTAGAATGTGGCCAACTACAGCTTGCATTATTATTGCAGTACTGACAGTACCGCCGCTCACGGCAGTACAGAGACAAAGATCGCCCGCATAGCCTGAACAGACTGTTGGGGCAAATGCTGTTAGCGAGCACCTATTGAGGCCGCCAACGGCACACGAGGGGGTGGGTGGCCAACACCAAGCCCGGACCGCCTTTGTCTCCCAGTGGCGATGTTTACGCGTGCACACACCACTACTAACCAGTTAAACATATCCAATGCGCCCGTTCTCGTCAACATCGAGAGAGAGAGAGAAGCAAAGTTGATCCTGGATCGTGCTCGCTTGGATGAGCGGACCACCTTGCAATGAGCAGGTGTTAGTATGTGCTGCTGCGGGACTGCGTTATGCCCGGGGCAGAGAGTGAAGTGTTGCCTCCGAAACGTCGTGATTTTAGTTTTATTTTATTTTTTATTAATTTTGATGTTTTACCTACGTGACTTTACCGAAAAAACCTAAGAATATGAATGCTGATAGGCCCATTGTGAGTACTGGAAACCTCTGCTCTATTGCGCCAGAAGATTATGCTCGGAATTCACGAACCCGGCACTAAACCGGCGAGGTGCACATCTGGCCAGTGGAGTGGCACGCAAGCGGATGGGGAGAAGGCGCATGAATGTGCGTGCATTGGGACGCGCGGAAGGGCAGTCTGCGTTGTTAACTCGACCGCGGAACGGAGAGGTGAATGACGACATTAAATATGAATTGACAATTTGCAGAGACCGGAGCTACTTGAGAGTGGTAGACAATTGCGTAAAAGCATTACAATGTGCCGAAAGTGTTGGCAGCGCGCGCGCGTGTGTGTGTGTTTGATTTCTTGCGCGCTTGTGCTTGTGTGTGCTCAACTCTGTGTTTAGTTTTTTTTGTTGTACATGCTCACTCCTGTATTTGCTTGTGTGCTCGTGTGTGTGTGTGTGCGCTTGCCATGTGTTTGTGTATACAGCATTCACTCCTGTGTGTGCTTGTGTGTATGTGTCTCTGTGTATTATTGGTTCTTTCGGTAAAGTCACGTCGATAGAAATTAAAAGATAAATAATAAAAATAATAAAGTTAAAACAATAAAAGCAAAAAAGAGCAAAAAAACACGACGTTTCGATCACAAAAAACACGCGGTCTTCGATTTTTTTTTCTTTTGTACCTTTTCGTTTTAATATTTAATTTCTATCTACGTGACTTTACCGAAAGAACCAAGAATATTAATTCCTGCAGTCACGAAAGTTGTAAGTGTCTGTGTATACTCTTTGGTTCTTTCAGTAAAGTCACGTAGGTAGAAAAATAATAGATCACGACGTTTCGATCGCAACACAAGTAATCGTCATCAGGTGGGACAACCACAGCAAGAAAAAACTGCTGAAGTGTGTATGTTGCTAACCACCCACCCCCTCGTGTGCCGTGTCGGCCATCATAACAGCACTTGCCCCAACAGTCTGTTCTAGATTGTCGGCGGGATCTTTGTCTTGTGTTTGTTCACACCTGTGTGTACTTGTGTTTATGTGCTTGTCTGTGCGCTGGTGCTTATGACCATCTCCGGTTTGACGGCAGAGGTCTCACTCTGAATCAGTCGGGCGGCATTATATTTTCATCGGCTGCGCAATGCAGTGTGGAAGCTACCTGGAATGTTGCTCCGCACGAAGCTTCGGGTCTTCTCGGCCACAGTCATGTCCTCCCTTCTCTATGCTTGTGAAACGTGGACCCCTCTAATGGAACATTTGCGCCGGTTAGAAACATTTAGACTGGCATGCCCACGATCCATTCTGGGCTTAACCAGGCTGGATTGTGTGAGGAGCTCACAAATCCTTGAAAGATTTGGACAAAGTCCCATCGGTGAGCTACTCCGGCAGGCTGCGTTGGCTGGGTCATGTAGCCCGCATGCCCAGCCACCGCATGCCCAGCCACCGCATGCCTAAACAGCTTTTGTTCGGTCGCATAGAGGGGGCTAAACGGGCACGACACGGGCTGGAGAAGAGATGGACTGATGCGGTACAGGAGGTTGTGGAGCTGAGTGGACTTGCCGACGACTGGTACCAGCGGTGTCAAGATCGGCCTCTATGAAGGGGGCTCGTAAAGAACGCTGCTACTGGGCAGGTGGAGGCAGTCGCCCTTCAGCAACAACGGATGGCAGAGAAGTGACGCTCACAACAACGAGCGGAGCGCCGGGCGGATAGAATACAGCAACATTGGCACAGTAGGGGGCACAGCCGGTGGTGCATCCCACGGTCATCTCAGTCAGCCAACCCATGGCACCTGCTGGGTCTGTCCCCAGACCCTCCCTCTCAACGAGCCTTCGACAACTTCACGTGGCCACAAAGTGCACCCAGCCTGGCACAGGCAACGTGGGGACGTCACAGTCACTTGCCGGCGAATGGCGGGGTTATTGATGTGTGCGCGCTCGTGTTTGTTCACTGCAGAGGTGTGTGTGTGTGAAGGAAGGCGTATGTGATGATGAGGTCGCGAGGTGGTCTATTTGTCTCTCTTTAATAAATCGATATCATCCCAGTAGACTTTGCGCACAGAGCTGTGTGCTGGGTTGTTGGACGGTATGAAATTAAAATCTGATGCACTCGGAATCTCTACAAAGGACACTGGCCTTTTGTGGATCACACTGCGATGTGTGCCGAGCATGTATAGTGCATTCACACATCGAGTGTGTGTGTACATGGTGCACTGTGGTTGTGCGCTCAGTAGGCTATGAGTGTGATTCCTGGACACGGCTAACATCAGTGGCGAATTATATCTCACTCGGCCCTGAGCTTCCTATCCTTCACTAACCCACACTGCTCAGCGTGGGTGAAGTATGGTCAAACTGCAGCCACGATCTACACCGTGTGTGAAGGCTTTTGATTCAGCAGTGGAGTGACAAAGTGATGTAACATTAAATTATATATCGTGCCTTAACACGTGCCTGCAAGTCCGCCTCTCTCGTCCATTTCTTGACGACTGAGTAGCCCGGAGGCAAATAGGAGGGGTCTTTATTCTCCAGTGCTTGAAGAAAGTGACGAGTGTGTGTGTGTGAAGAGCTGAGATTTGTGGAAGTACTCGCCGTAATGTACCGAAGCTGGTAAATTTAGCCCGCCTAATCACGAAGATAAGTACAACAATGAGTAGTGCCTGCCTCCTAATCACTTGGGCTTCCTGGATTTGAATGGAAGGGCATGCGGTCGCCAGTTTATGTCCAATTTCTGAGGGAATTTTTGATTTTTTAAAAAGAGATCTTAAGTGTGCGAGAAGACATGTGCAGCTGACATTGATTACAACAGCAAGCGTTGCTGCCACCCAAATTTGTAATATCTGGTTATGGGCATTCTCGTCCGGGAGACTTAATGGAATATGCTTTAGTCACGAGTGTGATGTATTGATTTAGTGGAACATGCAGGGCGGGGTTGGGGCATATCAGAGTGTACGTGCAGGTCTGGTGCCTGCATGTGATTTGAACTCGAAATCGACTGTTTTACGGTTTGTTGGTGGCATGTTGCAGCATTTATGGTTTTTGTTCGGACCTGTGTTGAGTCA